GTTATTTCAGGTTACTTGAATCACCCTGACCTAAACCTAACCTAAACCTAACCTAAACCGTGTAAGAAATTCTTCATTCGACACATAATTCGAAAGTTATTTCAGGTTACTTGAATCACTCTGATTTAAACCTAACCTAAACCTAACCTAAACCCTGCAACAAATTCTTCATTAGACGCATAATTCGAAAGTTATTTCAGGTTACTTGAATCACTCTGACCTAAACCTAAACTAAACCTAATCTAAACCGTGTAAGAAATTCTTCATTCGACGCATAATTCGAAAGTTATTTCAGGTTACTTGAATCACCCTGATCTAAACCTAATCTAAACCTAACCTAAACCGTGCAAGAAATTCTTCATTAGATGCATAATTTGAAAGTTATTTCAGGTTGCTTGAATCACTCTGACTTAAACCTAACCTAAACCTAACCTAAACCCTGCAACAAATTCTTCATTAGACGCATAATTCGAAAGTTATTTCAGGTTACTTGAATCACTGTGACCTAAACCTAACCTAAATGTAACCTAAACCGTGCAAGAAATTCTTCATTAGACGCATAATTCGAAAGTTATTTCAGGTTACTTCAATCAGCCTGTACATCTTTCCCGATTTGTACCTTGCCTTTGGCCAAAGTATTTTACGACGACCGATGCCTAATTTCTGACTAATTTCTAACGACGTGTAAGAAACTGTGTAAGAAAGGCTCGTCTTCGTCGCTGCTTCCGGACTTTTATTCTCTCTTTGCCCCGCTGCGTTTGTTATCTTCGCGCTCGAGATGTATCGTCACCAGATTCTTTGCAGATTATTTATGTGTGACTTGCTGCATCTTGTGGGAAGTTCATCCACGTGGGCAAAAAAAAAGAACGCGTGAAAAACAGTCTCTCGCGGATGAGAGACGATCGTGCAAGATCGTCACCGAAGACGAGGTCGATGACGTCAGTGGCTTGGCGGGATCAATCGGAGAGTCAAGTCGCGATAATTGCGACAATCGTCGGGATGCTTGCTTGCTCCCCAACGAGACGCTTAATCCCGCTCCCTCGTTCGTCGCAACTCTCTTTCTCCGCGTGACTCTTTCGCCGTTCAATTTAGCGAGGGCCCCTCGCGCTATTTACTTACAGCCACGAAGATTTCCGA